TCAGATTATGGATCAGCACGACCAGGGCATTAAACTGAACCATCTATATGAAAATCTGACGCGTTCGAGTATTTCAAAATGGCGATTTTTTTTTGGATTTTCAAAAAGTTGCCACGAGTTTGTGTCACATCCGAATCGTCAGTCTTTTGAATGGGAGCTTCGTTCGGGTTCACTTAACATCCCCTCTGAATATTCGACGTGCTAGAGTAAATTTTTGTTTTCCCCATTTTTAACCTTTCCGTACGGCCGCCCCCACCATCCAAATCGGCAGATTAACATATCTCCATCATCGGAGACACGTAGAGCATATACACTATCAATATCTGACGTGCCCGAGTATTTCCATGTCTGTTTTTTTTTTTACATTTTTGAAAGCCTGTAGACGCTTCCCCCACCGGTGACAGGGTATACATCATATAACCTTTTTCTCTTTCTACCATCTAATCTTCAAAATCCAATAGGTCCCCACGACGCTCGAGTAAATCCCTGTTTAGCATCGTGGGCTCCCCTACTATAATTAATTTGAGGCCATAAATTCCTTAGAAAAACAATTTTTTTCACATAATGCTTTTTAAAATACTGTTGAAAAACAGTACAGTACAGTGTACTGTACTGGATACAGGAGTATCCTGAATTTAAAGTCAGAATTCCTGGATCAATAACTGCATGACTGTGGGTTGCCAGGCTCCACTAACCCCATAATCTCATAATCATATCCACCAGCAGTGGGAGAGGACATAGGACATATAACCATGAAATAAATATATGGGGACATGATGTTCATACTTCGGAGGCCTGAAACTACTGTGAACTGATATGAAACATATTACTGTGAGTTGTCAGGCTTCCATAACTGAAAAACCCTGTAACCCTATAACTCTGGGTGTATAACCATGAAATACTGAGGAGTTAAGTTTGTAGTCCTGTTCTAACTCCATAATAATAACCTGAGCATATAAAATCCTGTAAACTTATGTTACAGGTTTTTTCTTTTTGTATCTTCACTGAGAAAACGTAATAGTACTTCCTTAATGTTACAATCAGTGATCAAGATTTTTTGCGATCAAAATCGTTTACATAACAGGTTATAGGATTAACCCCATAATAAAACAGAGTTATGGGGTTATAGTGTTATGGGGTTATGGTGCAAAGATATCATGAATTTAGTTGTTTCTCCAATCACTGATTGCTCAAGGTGGTTTGAAATCTCAACAATGTTTTCTAGAGAAGTTCTTTGATGTTAAGATCAAAACACGAACTGATCCAGAAATTCCGACTGTAGATTCAGAATCGATTCGGAGTTGTGTCACGATCTTTGTCAAGATCGTGTGACATTGCATATAATAATAATAATAATAATAATAATAATAATAATAATATGTTAGATAATTGACAATTATTGGAAAACTTTTATACAAATCCTTGTTGCCTAATGATGCGAATTAATATAGTTGATGAAACTGGTAGCAGAATTAAATAACATTTTGTTTCATCTGTTATTTTTACTTTTGTTTAGGAATATTAACAGACATTGCTTTAAAAATTCTGTAACTTTTTTATATGAAAATAATCGACCAATTAAAATATAAGAGGGCTACTTACTTCTTGGTTTACGAGGAGGCCTCTTCTGACATCTTGCAGCTAACCTGGCGAGTTGCCTAGCTGAGGGAGGGAATTCTAAGCCATCGTTTTTGTCTTGAGCCACAAGTTTACGCTCTTCAGAGAAAGCTCTCAGCCACTGCTGCTTGTCGTTGGGTGAGCGACAGCAAAATAATAACCATTTATCCCGCACTACGCTATATAATTTTATAGCATGTCTGACACTAACTCCCAGGTGTGCATCTGTAATTAAAAAAAAAAACAGTTTTATAGAAATTATTTATTCATGTATATTTATGTAGTATCTCAAAATTACAGGCATGTAACTAGACCTAGGGTAGATCTGAAATATATACCATAATTTTTTTATGGGCCAATAGACTATTAAATTCAAATATTTTAGTTCTTTTAGTAGGTATGACGACATATTTAATAAACTATTCTATTATGAGTGGGTGGCTCTGGAATTTATCATACAAAAAGTTTATATTACAAGAAAATTCTTACCTTTTCCATCAGGTACATCAATAACTTCAGAAGTGTTTAGACATATACGACCTTTATACACATAAGTATTCCTTTTCAAGATGTCCTGTAACAAAAAAAAACTAATATATATTTCAGATCTTTTAAGGACGTTCGATACACCTCTTACGGGGCGGGCGGTGCGGGGAGTATGCCTATGTTTATACACGGGAGTCTTGTTGCAGTACCAACCTTACATAAATTAATTTCAGCGAACTAAGTATGCTATTTAGAATGAAATTTATACAACACATATTAGCCTGCATATTTTTGTCGTGTTTAATACACGTCAGTTCACTTTTTATTTGAATAAAAGCGTCTATTTATTCATTACGAGCTTGTAAAATTATGGATGAAATCTGGCAACATTGCCATGGCGTGGTGGTAAAAGTTAGGTCAACTGTCACTACTGTCAACTTTGCGCGAATTCCGTAAACATGAATGAACAACCAAGGTACAAAGGAAAAGTAATGACTGAAAAGTATAAAATGAGTGTAAAACAGAATGTGGATTGATGAGAAAAAAAGAAAATGTGCACACCGAGAATCCATATGATAACTATCAAGAAGTTCAATGTATGATAGTGAGACGTCGACTTGTCAAATTGAAGATTATGACATAACAACTAAACTGTTCGTTTTGCAAAGAGATCCTTTCAATTTTTGTTTCAAATTGCTAGTATATTGCTTTAGATCACGAAAAATTTATTTAATATTAATTATTACTACATATATTTTCGACTGGAATAATTTTATAATCTATAATTGAGCTATTCAAATATAACGCATCAGTCGAAGCATTAAATACAGCGTACAGTGTTGCCATATTTCCTTTCATTGGATCAGATGTTTGTTCAAATTTGTCAAAACGTTATCTATTCATTCCATTATCTCAATAAATACATTGTAAGTGCATATTTTTATTGTTTTAAAATGTTTAATAATATTTAATTCTTTAATTACAATTTTATTTTCCCGATCCTAACCATTTTTAAGAGCAATATTCACGTTTGATGAAAGTTTTTTCCCAACTCCCATAAGAGCCTGTGTAAAAGAGCATAATTTTTAAATTCATTTTTCAAAAAAACTACGTTGTCGATCGATCTGATATTTTTACACAAGTCAGTTTGCATATTTATTAACAGATTTCAATTGCTTTGAAAACATTCTTACCATTTCTCTTTTGGTATCGAACCTCCTTAAGCAGTATATTATGAGCCCTAACTCAAATGTTCAGACAATATTTAGTTTAATAATTGCCATGAAAATTAATAGCTCTCTATTTAAAGTCTGGTCAAATCTGAAAGTTTGTATTTATTTACAAAAGAAAAAAATTTACCTATTTCAAGGAATTGTTGAGTTACTGTGATAATATTTCTACAATAAACATGTTCCAACAACATCAACTAAGTCAAGTCACCTTTCGACCTAATTATACCATTGATTTTATAAGCTACTTATAAAACTATGCTATCCGATAAGCCACAGTAAGAGCTGATGCTTGCCTATAAATTTTGATGGATGAATTTTGTACGTCGTTAGGATTCAGAATGCACTGCAATTGATGCACTCAAAACTAACAAATTATGCATTTATCATTGTTATTTATTACATACAGGGTGGGCCACCAGTAACGCCTCAGTCGCTAGTGACCAAACGGCAAATGTTACAGAAACCTGTTTAGGTGGGTATGTGTAGGTTGTTTAGGGCTACATTTTATAAATATGTTAAAATATACAGGGTGTCCAAGAAAAGTACCATATCAAAGTTATGTATTTTTAAATGGAGTACCCTGTATTTTACTGCATTTTTGAAAGCACCGTAAAAAAATAGGTGAACTTTATTAAAGGTTCTGCATACCTAGGACTTACAGTTTGTGAGATATTTCAATTTTAGTGAAAATGCAGGCATAGCGTAGAAATTTAATATTAGCAATAAAAAAATAATTTTAAGGAAGCAGCTTTGGAGGGTCTATTTTAGATCCTTGAAGTTATAAATTGTTATATTTGTCGTCACTTAGTATTATACAGGGTGTTCAAAAAACTGCTGAATACTTGTCTTAACTTTAAACAGCAATAACTTGGTTATTTTAAATGGGACACCCAGTATATTTTTACTTTGGGAGTTAGGAAATTTAAAACTCTTTCAAACTGTGTATAGGTTCCCTATACCTATCTCTAACGGTATTGGAGATATTTGTGCCGTTTCGTTTTTTATCGATTTTTTTTGTAAGATGTATCCACATGTCTTTATCGAGGTCTTTATTGAATTGGTTTGTGTTTTTCTTGATGATGTCTCTTTAAATATATTGAGAAAAATGAGGATGCAATTAGATGGCGCAACTGCAAATTTTTCATATTCAGTGAGAAATTATTTAAATTGAAAATTTAGTAATAAATGGATAAGTAGGAATGGTGTATGCCAGTGGCCACGCAGGTGTCCAGACCTCACCGTAATGGACTTCTTTGTTGCGAGCTATATAAAAAATCTTGTACACAATGTTCCACCTACTACTAGCGATGATATTGGAGCGAAGGATTAGAGATGCACTTGCGTGAGAATATCATTTGAAGATAGAATAAGATGCTGTATTCAAGAGAATGGTTATCAATTCGATCATCAATTAAAATTTTTCTTTGTTTCTCCTAAAAGTAAAATTTCCTTTTATCATTATCATGACAATATTCAAAAAAGTTTATTCTATAAGCAGAATAATTATAAAAAGTTATTAATTTTGTATAAATATGTTTGTAGTAAGTAACTGAATTATTTATGAAGATGAAAAATATTTATTAAAGAAAATTTTACTTTTAGAAGAAACAAAGAAAAACTTAAAGAGATGTTGGAATTGATAACTATGCTCTTGAATACAGCATCTTATTCTATCTCAAATGATATTCTCACACATTCCTTAGAATATTTGGGGTGATTGTGGCAAATCCATCTCTAATCCTTCCCTTCATATCATCGCAAGTATGTAGTAGGTGGAACAATGCGTGCAAGATTTTTTATATAGCCCGAAACAAAGAAGTCCATTATGGGAGGTTTGGACACCTAGGTAGCCAGTGACAGGGACCATTCCTACCTATTCATTTATTACTAAATTTTCAATTTATATAATTTCTCACTGAATATGAAAAATGTGCAGGTGCGCCATCTAATTGCATTCACATTTTTCTCCTTATATTTAAAGAGACGTCATCAAGAAAAACCCAAACTAATTCAATAAAGACCTCGATAAAGACACGTGGATACATCTTACAAAAAAATTCGATAAAAAACGAAACGGCACAAATATCTCCAATACCGTTAGAAATAGGTATAGGGAACCTATACACAGTTTGAAAGAGTTTTAAATTTCCTAACTCCCAAAGTAAAAATATTCTGGGTGTCTCATTTAAAATAACCAAGTTATTGGTTTATAAATTTATAACTTCAAGGATCTAAAATACACTCTCCAAAGCTGTTTCCTTAAAATTATTTTTTTATTGCAAATATTAAATTTCTACGTTAAGCCTGCATTTTCACTAAAATTGAAATATCTCACAAACTATAAGTCCTAGGTATGAAGAACTTTTAATAAAGTTCATCTATTTTTTTACAGTGCTTTCAAAAATGCAGTAAAATACAGGGTGTTTCATTTAAAAATACATAACTTTGATATGGTACGGTTTTCCTGGACACCCTGTATATTTCAAAATATTTTTAAAATGTAGCCCTAATCAACTTACACATATCCACCTAAACAGGTTTATGTAACATTTGCCGTTTGGTCCCTAGCGACCGAGGCGTTACCGGTGACCTACCCTGTATAATACTTTTATTATTCTATTATAAGTTTAAGTAACAATTTACATCTTTTCAAAACATGCTTTCTTAGATCATTTACATTTAATTTGAGACCTTGTTAGTATTTTCACTAGTTGCTTTCAAGTATCAGTTTTGTCTGTATCTCCATTCTCTACACAGACTAATCATATTGGACACTGCAGATTTTATCGAATTAAGCTTCAACTGTCAGTCAACAATTTTATATTTTGTGTTCAATGCCTATTGCTAATATTGTTTTTTAGACGATATTTGAACGTTAATGTATCACTTATCTTTGCAGTAAATCAGAAATAGCTTGTATGACCTTCTTAGATGTTTACTACAATCAAGGCCATGGTCACGAACATACGCATAATAATCAAAACTTTAAATAAAGAAAATATGTTACTTTATTGAATTTGCATTACTTGTTTAAATTTAATTTATTGAAATGTCCAAACATTTACATTTAAGGCTCGTGTATTCACATATGAGTACAGCCAAAAAAATGTCTATTGAATATTTAAGGTGACAAATCTCTCCTACAAACCCTTCATAAATGATTACAAGCCACGTAACCAGTAATTTTGTTTGGAACAGTAACTTTATTTCCTTCACGTTGCCAATTGGAATTTCGATAAAATTAAAACAATAAATTCAAGGTTATATTACAATACAATATTCTGTTTCATCGGCTAGGTATCACTGGTGTAAATTTTCACCAGATTCTATATTCAACCAATCAGCGATCGCATTATCTCAAGCGTAGACGTAACGGTTTTTCATTGTTCATTGTAAACGAATTATAAATATGTGCGAGCCAAGATTTAGGGAATTTTCGTTACCAGTACCAACCAAGCAATGATGGGTTGCTAAGCTCGGTGGTCATGTGGCCTGTAAACATTTATGAAAGCTCTGTATTTCAATAATTCCTTTAGAATTATTGTTTAGTAGTCAATAATTATTTTTCTTAAAACTATTATTTTAGCGATGTTACATAAAATGGTTACAACCTTAGAGCATATACTACTGGAGGCAGCGTCTCATTGGCCGAGAGTGTAGCGGAAGTTTAGAGAGAGAAAGGTATAGGAGTGCGCTATGCTGCTGTGTATGCTATCTCTCTCTAGCAACATGCAATCGCGTGCTTCTAGAGAGAGATAGCATATACCCTCCTATATATATCTCTCTTTAAACCTCCGCTACACTCTCGGCCACTGAGACGCTGCCTCCAGTAAGATTTGCTCTAAGGTTACACCCTATAACTGAATCACTGATACATCTTCAGGTATTCAAAATCTTCAGGTATTAAAATAGAACATATTCTAGCCCTCTTCTATATATCTGGAAATTTTGTCGTCTTTGCGTTGTTCAAGAATCATGAGTATGGTATTTATTTTTTCGTTTACTTTTGTTTGGCCCCAATTTATAAAAACTTTCCCACTATTCGACTTAATTAAAAAAAAATAAATACAAAAAATCACTGCATTCTTTAAATTTACGTCACCAAAAAGTTTGAGAAAGAATAATGTTTCTGTATAGTAGGTTCAAATTACATTCCGCATTTTCACCCATCTGTGAAATGTTATTATTTGAAAAAACATGTTAGGACTACCCCTAAAGATATAATTTTATTGGTCTATTTATTTATTGTTTGCAAAAATATCTATAACTTACCTTTTTGCAGTAGACAATTTGATGATCAAAAAGAAACAATGTGATATTATTGGTCCACATACCCGTCGTTACCCTAACTACTTCGCCTTGATAAATTAATTGTGAACTGACTTCTATCAGATCTTCACCCTGTAATTTGAATGGATATCTGTTATTGTCATTAATTAAAATAAACTATATTTTACAACGTGAAAAATGTACATAAATTATAGAGTATTAACCTTTCAATTTTCTAAAAATCTTTACTATTTATAATGGCCTTCATAAATGCCCGAGACATTAGCGGAACATGGTCTTTCCTACAACCAATCAAATCTCTGGACACAGTTTCAAAAATGTAATTAAAAGTCCCACGTCATAATGTTAAAGTCAGTTATGCAATTTGGAAAGTTTACATTTAACATTACAAATTTTTTAAAATTTGCTCACCCAATGGTCAACTGCATTCCCTAATATCTCGGACATTTATGAAGGCACTGTAAATAATAAAAATGGAAATATAACTGAATTTTACAAATCTATTAATATGAGTTATACAAAAAATGTTTTTTTTAACGATATGTTAACTAATTACCTCCCATCCTTCCACTCGATGTTGCCAGGCAGCTAATTTTTCTAAACTTTCCATCCTCCTCTTCCTCTCATTGATTAACATGGCTACACCACGCATAGCATCTAACGCTTCCTTGATGTTTTCAAAATCGTCATGTTCGGGTTTAGTATATTTTAACAATTCAGCTAATTGTAAGGGATATTTACAAATTCTTTGTACAGGAGTTAACAGATAACCATCTAAAGGTATTTCGATTAAGCCTCGCATTAATCTACAGGCTTCAAAAAATTTACTATAATTATTGTATTGATACAGTTCTTGTAGTGACGCGGTTGCCATAGGATGACTGTTGCAATAATCCGAGTACATTTTAAAACCACTACGATGTTTTAAAAAGCAACCACCGACACAACTCCTATAAGGGGCTTCCCAATCAATACAAGCCTCAAGGTCTTTTAGAAAAGCAGACTGAAATTTTAATATATCTTCTAAATTAATAAATATCGTATCTATTTGTTCTTCACTAAACATATCCTTGCGCTTCCGACACTCTGATATGTAACCTTCCGCAACGTCTTGTAACACTTTAACAAAATCACGTTCCGTGTGAACTAACTCCCGCACTACACTAGTTCTAACTTGGTCATTTGATAATAACGAAATACTAGTTCGTCTGCGAATTTGAGACGATACGTGTTGGCCAGAGGCCATCGCGGCAAGACAGTCTTCGACGGTGTCTTCCTGGCTAACCCTTAATCGTACGAATTGGGCTGGAAACCAACCTGATTTTCCATTTGTTGATCCCCACCACCAGTCCCTATTAGCAGTCTCAAGCACCTCTATCACATCACCGGCTCGAAAAGCTAGTTCTTCTGCTTCTATGGCAACATGATCAAAAACAGCCTCAGCCAGGATTACCATTTCTTCATCCATAGCTAGCTCCAAAGACTTTTTCCGGTCGGTTAGAGAAGCTACAGATGATTCGGAATCAGACATAATCTCATCGTCAGATGTTCCTAGACGAGCGTCGTGTTCATCTTCACTGAGAACATGCCCACCAACTCGAACACCTGAAAAAAAAATACATTAAAATAATAGCGATTTTTATATAAGCCTTGCAACTTGATAATTGCGTCTACTACATATATTCAAGGAGTTTGATTATACAGGGTGTTTCTGTAACAACTGTAAGGTTGAAATTCAGTTTTTATTTTATTTCTCACAGTTGGAGAAGCAGAAGAAAGTGGTAAAGGCTTTCTGATACCGATATTTGAAATCATCTGCCACCCTCGAGGGGTTTGAAAATTGCAACCCTGAATTAGATGGGTGTTCAAATCGTAAATAACATTAAAAATAAAGGATCTAGAAACTGTAAACAAAACAGAAAATAAGATGTGATTATAGCGAGAAATCTACTTAAACGTAATAGAGCAAGTTCCTATGACACTTTTTCGAAAACTTAACTTTCTTAATTATTAATAGAGTTGTATAAGAGTTCAAATTTACATTTTTAAATTGATAATTTGTTGAAACTTTTGTCAACTAAGTAATTTTTTTAAAAGTTGGTTCTCTTACACTATTGATAAACTGCACTAGTGGAAAATTTAAATATTAAAATCTTGAATTCCAAAAAGGCTTAAATGACTAGATAAGTTTATTGATTAGAAAATTAATCAGAACATTTTCACGTTTTGTTTTTAAACTAAACTTGTCATAGAGAATATTAACGAATCTTACAAAAATAATATGACTATTTTTCAGAAACATCACATAAAGAATAAAATTTTGTAAACATTTTTCCTTTTCTTTTCTGTAATTGATTCGATTTCGCAAAAATATATTAAAATTCGTTCTAACAGGAACTAGTCTTTATACAGGGTATCCCGTTCATGTTGTGTGCAAGTTCTTCATGGTAAAATAATGGGGGTAGTTCATGTAACGTTTTTTTCTTAGACATCCTGTTTTCGAGATACAGTGTGTTGAAGTTGTTACTTTCCAAATGGTTTTCCTAAATTATCTTTAAATCGGCTAACGATAAAGATGTCAAAATTTGTACATGAGTAAACATCAACCGTGTGTTAAGAATAATGTGCAAACGGTTTCTTTCTGAAAAGCAGTGTCGCCGATACAGGTAATTGGAGGGGTACAATCGAAAAAAAAAGTCAAAATTTTTTACATTTCTAAACAGTTCTGAAAACTCTAAAGCATACTACAAAAAAAAGGTATACTTGTCGAAATTCGGTAGCATGTACCATTTTCGAGAAAAATGAAGTTGCATTTTTTTGCTCACATAAAGCGGCATAACAAAATATTAAATTGAAAGAGGACTTTACCATTGAATGGGCTGAAGACATTTAGGTACCAACAATATTTGCATTTAAGACTATAATTTTCATTTCTTACATATCATATGAAACAGTTAAATTGTAAAACATTTTATTAACCAAAAAAAAATTGAAATTTATTTTAAGTTTCAGATTGTTGTGAACTAACATAAAGTAAATCAAAATAAACAGATTGTGGTAATTAATTATCTATTGATAACTAATTTTAGATTTTGTAAACTACTACACTACCATTACTAAAATAAACAATTGTTGAATGGACATGAATACTTAAAAAAAAACTGATAAGAACAGAAAAATATTAGAAAACAGACTCGGAGACACGTCGGCGAATATACGAGCTTAGGTGTATCAGAACTTTAATAGATAGGTACCAAATCTGCAAAAGTTTTAAAAACCTTTTGTTATGATGAGAGGAAATAAATTCGATCTATTAATATTAAATACCATAAAAACAAGCAATAAAAAAATAAATAGGAAACGGGATGTGTGTTTTTTAAATAAGAAAAATATGTTTGGTTTGACAATTTTTATTTTTTATTTTTGTGCAGCAGCTTTTCTAGAAGTGGGAAGACACAAATTAGAACAATTAATTAGATTGCATTAGAAATTACATAAATACTAATTTCAGTCAAAACATATATCTAACAAAAATTATTTATGGCGTTAAATCAAAATTATTAATTTCAGAGTCCCTTTAATAAAATACCTTAAAAATATAACGAAGCTGCATTAAAACTAAAAATAAATAGGTAACTTTACGAAAATATATTGTAATTTTATGATAACACATTCGGGTAGTTTCTAAAATTTATTTTCCCATTATAGTGACTTTTTTTCACCAATTTTCCCCCATAAATGAATTAGGGGTATATGTTTTCCAAACATTTTCAAGCTATTTAAACTTTATCTAAACGAATTTAAAAGTTTGTAAAGCTATCTAAATGAATTTAAATTGATTTGCGTGTAGGTATTTAATCATATTTATGTTGCATATTATTATGCATATGGCACTTTTTAAATAATTTTCTTAAATTTATATGTGGTGCTCCATAACTATAACTACAGTGGAAAATTGAAATATATTTTTCTCTGGAATATCCATCTAATATACCACTTTATACTTAAAAATTATGGAAAATTTTTAAGATATTATTTCTGCTTCACACAGTGGCTGAATATATTTATTGTTAGTTTTTTTTAGTTTACATGAAAAAGTACCTGATGATGGAGGTCCGTTTTTGTAGGTATTCTCCACAGCAACTTGTTTCTGACATACAGCCTGACCAAATTCATCTTGTTCGGGAATTTTAGATGCGCAGAGATAATTTGTTCAGATACATTTAAATAAATACATAATATAAAAGTAGCCAAGTAAAATTTTTGCACAAAAGGTATGTACCTGCCCTACTATAATTGTCTCATGTCTTTGTCATTCCTATTGCGGACTCTCTTCTTGATCTGCGCATCTCGCAGAAAATATGAGTTTGGTCAGACAATAATTTGAATTTTTTCGATTTCAAGAACGAAGCATTTATTTTCCTACAAAACTTTACTTGAACTACCTACCCCGTTAATTTTTATAGTAGAATCTAATGGAGACGTTTAGCTGATTAAAAACTGAATAGGTACTCTGCATATATGTATATAAAAACAACTCACCTGATATCTTTGTCCTCATCAGCGGAGACAGCTTATCAATGTCCAAGGGCTGGCTCAGGGACCTCCTTAGCTGCCCTCTCCGGTGACTTCCGTGTCGAAGGGTGACACCACCGGGCGCGTCCGGCGGCTTCTTCCTGGGGCTTTGGGGCCGGCCCCGTAGGGGCACCGGCGACGTCATGAGGCGCCTGTACGTGGCCCGCGGATCCCAGTGAAGCAGCCTCTGGCCTCCGAGGTCTGAACGCGTCCGCCTCACCTGCTGGTGTTTGTGGGCGCGCTGCTTCAGATCAGCCTTGAAGATGGACAGAATGAACGTTATAACGTCGTTTGCCATAGATGAAAATTTTAAGAGTTAGATGCCTCAAAATATTGCATTTGCAGGTTTAAAAACAGTTATCACAACTTAAGAATTAAAGTATTTAAATTTGTTGATAGGTGCGTGTGTTAAAAACGTTAATGTACTTTTCAATCACTGGTATGCACTAAAATTGAATTTCTAATTATCAATATCTCGTCACACCACTGGGAAATTACTTTTTAATCATTTAGGTACTATCTATCAATACCCGTAACTCATTACGTGCGACACACTAAATAAACATTTAAAATATCTCGTTTCATCATTTTATCGTATTTATAGGAAATCCGTTCGGTCGGATTCGATGCTAACGGCTGAAACTGTAGTAACGTACTAAACCTTTTAATGTTTTTCCCTTTTCGAATCCGAACCACAACTATTGAATTTGATGAGGTATCTGACAGATTGGAGCTGGAAGGGCATGTGTATGTTCCCTTCTTGCAGACGCCCTTATGTTCTTTCTTAGCGAGCGATGGCAGAACGTGCCATCCGGCCTGTTTCGAGATTGATTATACATAGACGTACCAAAAAAAAAGACGTAAAAGGATTTATATCGCAAACTTCTAAATTATTTATAGAATCACGTAAGTACACTGAGGGAAATCGAATAATAATAAAATTGTGTTAAGATAAAAATTGATGCTTTATTAGAACAAGAGAGCACCTTCTTACGGTGAGTAGGGATACATTCTGTCTAGCAACTTTTCCACTAAAGGTAAGTAGATAACTTATTACACTAGGTAAGTGACTTTAGTCACCTATGGCGAAGTAAAAATTGTAGTACAGCATCTAGTATTAATCATAGTTGACACGCAAACACGAGGGCTACAATATTAGATATAGCCATTTTGTGCCCAACATTGCAACAGGAAGAGTGCCTTGTCCGTCTTTGATATTAATAAAATATTATATTAACATAAGTCAGTAATTATAATAATAACCAACAAAGCCTTGACTGGCAATTAAATTTCGGTAAAATTAAAAATTATTAAAACAATAAGATCAAGATTACATTAAAACACAACATTCTGTTTCACCAGCTGTGATTGGTGTAATTTTTCAGGAGATTCTATTCAACCAATTAGCGATCGCATTATCTTGAGCGTAGACGTAACGGTTTCTCATTATTCACTGTAAACAAATCATTAATTTTGGTAACGCCAAGATTTAGAGAATTTTCGTTACCAGCCCTGCAATGTTGGTTGTCTAGGCTCGACGGTCACGTGGCTTGTAAACATTTTTGAAAGCTCTGTATCATGTTCCAAAAACAAACATTTATTTGTAATAGGTAACGAAAATTTTTTATGAAAAAACAAAAAGTGTTCCGTTCAAATAATGATAGTTTTTTAGTTTTTTTTAGTTAGTTTAGTTATCACACTTTTCAAAAACATTTTGAACAAATTCCAATTTGTTTTTTTATATTAATTTAACCTCAATATTTGAATATAATTAAAGTATAAGTTAATCGATTATATCTTGAACATTCAAAAATTCATCAATTTACCTTTTTAACTTCTGTTTCTTTAAACTTTTTTTTTGTACAAGATTGATCTGTGAAGGAAAACAGTTTCATATCAATTATTCTCGAAAGTTACGTGACGCCAATGTTTTGTAAAGTCCTTTTTCGCCCTTTTTAATGCACGCCTATGTCTGAAATATTAGACGTCTGCCCTCTGCCAGGTGACTCCTCATACCTTTTACCTGAAACCCCGGAGCACATGGCACCAGATTTGTATAACAAAAAAGAGCAAAACCATCTGGTAAGGCTTACTTGGCTAAATTTTCTACTTGGCAACTTTTAGAAAGTACTGAATAAAAATATATGATAGAGATATACTAAAAAAATATACTTAAAGGTATTCTTTTTCTCATTACATTTACTTTTTCTGTTTATTTTTTGTATAGAATCAACTATAAATTTTTCTCTTGCAATTTGCAAATTATTAGTGGTGTATAAGAATATACTGGAGAATAAAATTACTAGGTCCTAACTACCCCTACAGTCGGCTGCTTGTATGACACTTTATTTTACAGACAATGGTCATAATTTCAGTCGACTATTTAAGTGATTCGGAATAAAATTCCGTCTACTCAAAAACAAATAAATAATACAAAGTGTCTCGTCTCAAATTAGAAATTAAATAAACTGTTTGCATCTACATTTCACATATTTCCGTTTCAAGATGATACGTGCTTATTCTATTCTCAAATAATAAGTTATTTTTAGTACAAAGATTTTAGGCCTCTTTGGTATATAAATTAGTTTGTGCTCGTGCCAAATTACTACTCAGTTTTTGATTATACGTTATTTATGTGATGCAGGTCGCCACTAAGGTCCTGATGAATGGTCGAATAAAACAAAAATAATGGTTTCCTATCCTTAACAAATAGGTGCTTGTTAGCTTGTCTACTGAATTTTAAAATTTAGATAATCTAGGATGCTAAATTTTTATAAAAATCGATTTTTTTTTAATTACAAAAAAAAGTGTAGTGATTTTGTTCAAATTGGGCGTGCATGTTTAGTTTTTCTTTATAAGGGTCGTGTTTCCAGGGGTGGACGTAGAATCGTTTGCAATTTTTTTTTCTTCCATACTATTTCACATCGAACTCACTACATCAGTATTATGATGGATACATAGGTTTTTCAGAAATTATTCGTGTTACATTTTGATATATTGCACCGTTTTAGAAATAAATGATAAAATGTCAGATAGATACCTAATTATTGCCAGAGATATTTTTTCTAAATTAATATAATTATTATCTCTGAAGGAAATGAAGTGTTATTTACGTGACTAACTGTTTTTTACAACTTGAAATAAACCACGACACCTCTCATTAAAATCAGAAGAAGGTTAATCGACAATCATTCTAAAACCCTAAAAAAATGTTATTATTAATAAAAAATGACGTAAAATTTGTCTGTTTCCGAAATAATCCAAAAATTATATATTTTTAGTTATTTATTATTTTAGTTACAAACATGCCATAACTGAAATGTATAGACTTTAGACACACTGATCTGTTATTTGGCTACCATTTTGTTTATGGCATATTCGAATAAAAAAACTGAAGGTGGAGTGAGGTTTGTAATCAGTATTGTATTTCAATATATTACAAATAAATAAATGCAGAATATGTATCCCATCCCTGTCTAAAATCCATTTACTGAATGTAGGTACCCCTATATGTTTTATATAGGGGTACCTATTTTATATTTTTTTACGTTAATAGCAGGTTGCCATCTCTAAACTGAAATATGATACTCCCTATATAAGTGTGGATCTTTTCGTATAATTTGGTTTATTTCTTCAGTTCTTTTACAAATGATCTAAAAATAAATGTGTTTAAATGCCGTTACTATTTTCAGATACATCTACATTATAAAAACCACTATAGTAGGTCTATATATCAGTTCACAATGTATCCAATTTAGACCCCATAAATTAGTTTGATTAAGTTTAACAATTACAATATATCAATTAACCCCCCCGGGTNCACTGATCCGTTATTTGGCTACCATTTTGTTTATGGCATATTCGAATGGCTTCACTTCCATGTCACTGCAAATATATCAAATTTTATATTATTGCAATCCTGAAAAAGTATTTTACTCAAATGTAAGTAACATATACGATGTTCTTTTTAAAAATTGTTTGGTTTGTCGTGCCAATATTTTTGCTGAACTTAAATATAAAAAAACTGAAGGTGGAGTGAGGTTTGTAATCAGTATTGTATTTCAATATATTACAAATAAATAAATGCAAAATATGTATCCCATCCCTGTCCAAAATCCATTTACTGAATGTAGGTACCCCTATATGTTTTATATAGGGGTACCTATTTTATATTTTTTTACGTTAATAGCAGGTTGCCATCTCTAAACTGAAATATGATACTCCCTATATAAGTGTGGATCTTTTCGTATAATTTGGTTTATTTCTTCAGTTCTTTTACAAATGATCTAAAAATAAATGTGTTTAAATGCCGTTACTATTTTCAGATACATCTACATTATAAAAACCACTATAGTAGGTCTATATATCAGTTCACAATGTATCCAATTTAGACCCCATAAATTAGTTTGATTAAGTTTAACAATTACAATATATCAATTAACCCCCCGGGTAAATAACTTGATTAATTTATATATTTTGTACCAACTAAAAAAATGGTTGCCATTAATTATACTTCAAATAACTGCAAAAATATTTATTTATAGTAACTGTTCTATTCTAAGACTGAGTATCGTAGTAATCTTATCGAAAATGTTATTATCATTAAAAATCAAAGGAAAATTGGCAAGGAAATCAATCTAGTTGTTAACACCCAAATGTATTATCTGCAGAATTCAATCATAGCGAGGCGATTGTAAGGAAATCAAATTTTGATGGTGAATGTCTTAAGGAAACGTTTAGTTGGTATATACCTGGAATTGGTATTTAATTGGTATATACCTATTATTACGAACCGATTTCAGGCTTTGGCATTTCCCATTAAAGACCCAGATTTGCTCTAAAATCATTATTAGTATTTGGATCAAATTTTCTCGGATCACTGAACTAGTAGGTCATTCATTATGGGGTAGAAACACATACATATTACTTAGGAATACTTGTAACACATAAGATGAAAGTCTTAATACAATACGGAAGAATTGCTTAGGACAGGCCAAACTTTATCTGCTGACAGAAGCGCACAAAATAAGATAAAATAATTAAATATAGATCAAGGAAATGCTTTCCAGGATTCAAGGCATTGAAATTTCTGAGTATGCATTTTGATTAGTCCTATATTAGAAACGTCTGAAGATATAAAAGAAATGTTTCCATTTTATATACCTTATAAGATAATATACTGGGGAATGGGGATACTGCTAAATTTTATCCCGTCTTTTTTGATGCCACATTTTTTCATTTATTTAAGGCCAGAAC